GTTACGTTACGTTACGTTTACGTTTACGTTAGTTACGTTTAGTTAGTTAGTTAGTTAGTTAGTTAGTTAGTTAGTTAGTTAGTAGTAGTAGTAGAGTAGAGAGAGAGAGAGAGAGAGAGAGAGAGAGAGAGAGTGACTCTTAACTCCTTCATTCTTTATTGCAGTGACAACCAAATGCCTCGAAATGTATCATTACCAGTCTCACCAACCGGGAGCCCTCTCCTCCAATCACGATCCCCCCACCACATAAGCGGTCGGATGTCTCCCTCACCCATATCGAGCCCTATCGCCACATCAGGCTCCTCCACTCCCCTCACTGGCGGCAATGGTGCCATCCCTTTCCACCACATCAAGCAAACAACCTCCAACTACATGCATGAAGGCTATGGAAGTCTTCCTAGATCGCCAAACAACCTCTATCTCAATGGGACCTCCTATCATGACCCAAACCCTGACTTATTTAGGCCCGATTGCTCACCAGTCTTTGGAAATGCATTCCCACCTAGGTCGGTTCAATATACGGGTCAGGCTGCTTTGGCTCAGCATGTATCTCAGCAGCTCTTGAGGAACCCAACAAGCCCTAATCCCTCTGTAGATCAACGGTCAGGATCACCTTTACCAGGTCGATCTAATGGGCCCTGATTGGGGCTCTGTGGAGTTTTGAGGAGAGGGGTTTTCAAGAGCTTTGGGTCTTAGGCCGTGAGGTTGGGCATTTTCTTGTTCTTTTCTTTTGTTGTTTTAGTAACTAACAAAATGGATTTGTACAATAAGGGTCCAAAGTGGAAGGATTTGAAATAAGATTGGGGCGCTTTGTTTTGGGGGGGTGGGCTCAAGTCTGGCATTTTCCCTTTACTAGCCATTGGAGCTCCCTCTTTCTCTATGGTAAGTGCACTCTCTTTCGTTTTACTGTTGTGATTGTGCTAGTTACTTAGAAGTGAAGGATTTTGTTTTTAGGAAACATACTCAATATAAATGGGCTATGAAAACAGTCCCTTGGGGCTTTTCACTGTCTAGTGAACTGATGTCTTATGTTGGAGAGTCGGTGCCACGGTTGGGGGGTCATGACCAGCTCTGGTGGCCACCCTCTCTCCGTGACCATCCGATCTATCACTTCCCATGTATTGGGATTATTGGATTATCGTATATATCTTTGTTTTTTGGGAGAAAGTACCATACCAATGGCATGTTGCGTACGGTACACTTAGTGGGCTCTTGGTGTACCATAGAGTAAATACACTACGAGTGTATCCTATGGGTTATGGTATACTCGCCCTTTTTCCTTTTCATTCTTGTGTTTACAAGTCGAGTGTTCATGCCATTTACAATCAGTTGATTGACTAGGTTTATGAAAATTGAAATTTTGCAGGGGGTGTAACTCTCTCCCAGGAATTGCCTTTTATCTATATGGTGAGTGACTAAAGTACTCATTTACCCTTTGACCATGGCTGTAAATATTTCTTTATGGAGTATGTGAATCTCAAACTAAACTACACTTATGTCACTGTTCTAACTTCATTCATTAATAATGACACTAATATATAATGGAAAAAAGTAGATGGTTGACTAATTTGTCATTTTGGGTGGTTTACGGCTATCGAGACATCTAGGAAAAGTTTCTTGATTCTTTATATGTTCACAAGATGTTTTAAGTTTGACGTTGTGCTCTAGATTTTTTTGACACCTAATGCAGCTATTTTGTATTGCAAAATGATTTGTTAAAAAGGGAACTTGTTATTGTTTAGATGCTTTAACATTTACTGCCTCATGTGAGTTACTAAATACTCACCCTTTATCCCCATATTCTTCGTTCGATAAATGATATGGTGCTCTCCACGAAGTTGCTTATTATGGGGAGAGGGGCATGATAATGAATTTCACGTTGCTATGAGCAAGCTTAACAAACCCTTCTGAAAACTGCAATTATTCTTCGAGTAGAAAGTCTTTAACTTCTCTGTCTTTTTTCTTTTTCTTTGGTTCTGGAAAAAGGAGATGGCCCTTGAGTTTTGCTCTTATTTGAGTGTGGTTGAACTGCTATGTTGCAGGGCTATGGACAGGGCTCCAAATTATGTTCAAATTGAGAGAGATGTGGAAAGTTTCAACAGTTGGAGTGGGACAAAAAAAAACTGTATATTTATGTCACACAAGGAAATGAAAGAGTTAGTTGGAGGAGGTATGAATTTGATGGGTGCCACTTCATTTTTTTTTTTTTTTTTCCATTTTTCTATTTATTTATTTTTTCTTTTTTTTTGGGGGGGCATTAGAGGCCACATTGTACAGGAGGTTGGAACATGAATTTTAGGATCTGGATTTTTGAGTCCTGGGGTTGACAATGGGTTCTTAGAAGTTGTAGTGTAAAAGGTGGCCTTTTGTAAGCTTATCCAATTTCTCTATAAATTGGAAGAAATGGAAAAGAAAGAAAGAAAATGAAACCCGATTTTCTAGCATTTCTACTTCTCGTTGATATTCAGTGAACACAGTATCCAGATATGAACTTTTGGGTTGGGGCATGCATGAACTGTTGACTTCAATGTTTACTACCTGAGGTATACTTATGATTCGATTTTAAAAATCTATCATCTCTGTCTGTCTGTCTCTCTCTCTCTCTCTCTCTCTTTCTCTCTCTTCCAAACATACGCACATAGGGTCGTTGGGATTGGCGGCAAAAGGCGATGTTGAGGATATGGAGGGAACAATCTGCAGTCTAAATGGGACGACTTACTCATTTTAAGCCCATTTGGATTAGAATTATGTGGGCAATAGTTTTATGACAAGTGGCTAAATGTGAGATCATCGTCGTCATCATCATCAAATCCTTATTGCAACTATTTGGGACCTGCTTGTTCAACGTGAGATGCTCTCTTTTTTTTCTTTTTTTTTATGTTGCGAGGTCATCATCAGAATATCTTTATCGCAACTATTTGGGCCCTGCTGGTTCAACTTGAGATGCTCTCTCTTTTTTTTTTTCATTAAATTCGTAGGTATAGCTACATAGTTGAGTCAGCTTAATGGATTGGAGAGCATGACATGGTGATTTTATAGGTTTTATTCTTTGTAAGGCGGCAATGGGGGAGCTTAAGATTTACTTACAGACTGCAAATCTTTTTAAGAGGACATTTCAGTGAGAATAGGAAAGGACGGGGTTAGAGAGAGAGAGAGAGAGAGAGAGAGAGAGAGAGAGAGAGAACGGAACAGGGGGGTTTGCGAGCTGAGTGCAAAATAGTATAAGTTGAGATTAGGTACACCTGTAATTTATATTTGGTAAAGTATATTGAGAAGAGAGGTGGTATTATGTAAAAGAAAATTGTTTCATGCGGGTTGGATCGCATTTCTACATATGCGGTCTAGAAAATGTAAAGCATCCATCTTAAAGATGGATGCAAGTAGGTATTTCATCTAAAAAAAGTTGGAAACTAACAGTCCAAATGTTTACTTATTAGAATTATTATTTTTAATTTTTAGAATTTATTTATTTTTTCATATTCATGAACATGTCCTTAAAGTTAAGTCTTAAAATCCATATCAAAAATAGATTTATTAAGAGGCCATATGTGAGCTTGGTCGCACAGAAACCAGGAAACATAGTGCAATACACAAATAGCAAAAGGAAGAGAGTAAGCAAATTATCATTGGGATTAGCAAAAAAACATAAGTACATCTGCAAAACGAGCGAGAGAGGGAGAGGCAGAGGGAGAGGGAGAGGGAGAGGGAGAGGACATTAATAACTCTAAGCAACGTAGGGAGGGGGAGTGACATGAGTAACCCCAAGTGCATAAACCCCCTAATATATCAATATTATGACACTTTACCTTTTTTATGACATTCATTTATTTCTTAGAATATTAAGACACTTTATCTTTTCTATGATATTCATTTCTTTTGATGCTAACGCTACGCTTATATATGACACAATGATCACCAAATCAAGAATGGAATGCATAGAAAATAGGAAATTGTTTTTGATTTTGCAGTACTTTCATTCGATACTCATTGAGATGACCCAAATGGTTATGCTAACCTATATGCTCTCATTGCTTACTAGATGGGGCAAATATCTTTTCTGGAGAGTCAGTCCTTTGAGTCGTGGCACGAAGAATGTAAAAACTCCCATTCTTTTGCCTATTTAATATTGTCATGAAACCCCTTGAAATCTTCCATGATTCATTTTCAAAAACCATTGTGAAGTTAGAGTCATCTAATTATGTCGAAATGAGATTTTTCTTTAATTGATGGACCTGTCGAAATGAGATATTTCTTTAATTGAGGCACATGTCGCGCATTTATCAATGTATGTTTCTTTCTATCTGATTGCTTAATAGCAACATTACCAAATTTTTGCAAGCACGGTCATCATTGAGACATATTAAACCATTATTCACAATGATGAAAACATAATCTTTCTAGGCAAATATGAAATGCAGTGCAAGAGTCCAAAACCCAAGTGTATTCAGTAGACAATGCTGCACAACGCTAAAAGTGACACCTTCGCCATTAGATATATGACTTACTTCGGCATGATTATATTTGCTCTTGGTCTTTTGCTTATTTTTTAAAACATGACAATCCTTTTGTATATATTAGGTTTCTTGCAATACTGGTAAATAACCTTATGTCCTTGTGACATTGATCTCCCTCTATTTTGAGGTTTGCCCACTGTAATTCTAAGAATTGGCTTCTTTGTTGTGTTCTTCCTCTATTTCTTAATGTCAAAGCTTGATTTAATTTTGCAAGAATTTGTGTAGCTGCTTTTCTAGTCTCTTTGTTTAGCAATGAAGCTATACCCTTCAAATTAAACTTGTTAACTATTGTATTGGTCATAGTAGTAACCAAGGCATCCTAAAAAAATAAAACATATATAACTGATCGAAAAACAAAAAAACAAACACACACACAAGAGAGAGAAACTACATGCTTACTGCACAATTATATTCTTTTTTGTTAATTATGATCTCACTGTACTTGATTGAACCAAACTACTGGTATTTAACAAACAAATGCTTACTGCATATGACCCAAACAAATCTAGCCAACTGCGGATGCAGAATATCTAAAATGTTTAAATTCAGCTTCGGAAAGCATCAATTGATAAGGCCCATAGAGAAGTCCCACAATTTCTTGGTCAACTCTGTGTTTGTGGCCAGGTTGCTTGGTTTTTCAAAATTACTATCTGAAAAATACTTTCCAGTGACCCCTTTAACTTGTGGATGCAATGCAACATAACATGTTGTTGCTGCTCCCTACAACAAACACAAAGGAGAGAGAGTATGAGATGTCATGAGAAAGATGCATGAGTTTGCATGAAAGAGGATAGATGTTTACCTGCAGAGAGAGCGAGAGATGGACATACGTGCTCAAAAGAAATGCAACAGATATTTACAGGGCCTATCTCTTACCTGTTGTGCATTTTTCAAAACGAGTTTGCCAAATCTAAGAACGATAGCTGCATCACAGAAGAACCAAAATGTCATAACGCAACCTACTAGGTATGCTCTCTCTTACGCAAAAGATCAATTCATGATCCCATAATATAAATCAAAGAGAGATAAAGTAATAGGAAAAGTCGCCTGCCAACGTGATGTGGACAGTGGAAGAGTGCACCACCCTTTCAATGGTTCACATTAAACATGGCCACATCCAACGGCCACAAAATATTTTCATATTTTAATTTTATTTTTATTTAAAAATAATATTTATTTGAAATTTGAAATCTAAATATATTTTTATATGGCGCATCAAATACAGATAATAAAAAAATATTTTGACAAAAAAATTGACCAAAAATCATTAGATTGTTTTATAGGTATTTTGGTTAGGTTTATTTTATTCAAAATATTTTTTATTATTTTTAATTCAAGCGCCATATAAAATGCATCTATATCCTAAATTCCATATAAATCTCATTTTTAATTAAAAAATAAATAAATACGAAACTCCTTTTCAGCCATTGGATGATACGAGATTCAATCTGAATCATCGAAGCGTGCTTGTGCACTCTTCAAGAGTCCCATCATGTAGATGCTATACCATCCCACATTAGTATGGAAAAATTCTCGATGCTGTGCAAAAGATCAAGTCAAACAATTTAGAGGTACCATTATAATTAAAAATAAAGGGCCCTCGATCATTAATTATGTTGGTACAACTACATATATGCATATAGGTGCACATTACATATTCATGTGTAGATATGCACACAAGCATGAGTAGAATACAGATTCGAATGTATGCATATGCATATATCCACATGGGGCATATAAATATGTACACTTGTCACTACATATGTTTGCATGCGTGTATGTGTGTATACATAAAATTATGCTACAATCCAATAGAATACAGACAATCCATGGTCCGTAAACTCATCATCATCTGATGAAATAAAGAGTGATGAAATGAGATTAAGCCCTGCCACTGGGTCATAAACTATGCTGATGGGTCCCACTCTCTCTCCATTAGGTCAATCATTTCAAGGGACGGGTGATGACCTAATCAACTATTGCTCTCCCCTGGTCAATTGGATTATAATATGGATCGGGTTTCTCTGAGTCACTCGACTCATACTGTATATATGTGGCCCTCTCATTAAACCATATTAAAAATTAAGTTTTAATCTAAAATTTTAGGGATTCATGATCTAGGTTAAGATAATCACGAACATTAAAAAAAATAAAGTTTTTGATATTTAAAATGAGATTTTTTCAAAAAACAATTCTATACCGTATATGCCCTGTGAGTTTTTTAAAACATCCATCTTAAAGATGGACGTTGGTGAGTCCTCGGCTCTTGCACCCACTGACTCATGAACAACTTTTCCTGATAATATACTTGGTAAGAGTCAACAACTCAATTGAAGGTAATTCCTTTTGTAGCATTGTGGATGTGGTTTTATACCCAGCTTCCCTGCTAAAGAAACATGAGTATCTCTTTTTTGGGTGAGGTTTTGTATAAGGTTGCCTCCTTACACCGTAGAAGTAAGCGCACCTCTAAACGTTGTTTAGAGATGTTGTTATGGTGTCAGAAACCTCATGATGGCTTGAAAATCTATTTTGACCTAGTTATAGAATTTAAAACTTAAAAAAATGGTACAAATCGAGTAGATCAATGAACACTTGAAAATCTTGAAAACAAACGGTCCATAACTTGTTACAAAATGCACTATTTTTTGGACTTAGAATTCTTTTTTTTTCTTTATGTCCATATATCTCAAGGTCAAGATGCTCAATTGGAGGGTTCTTCAACATCGTAATACTCTCTTCTATAAGATTTATGAGGTGCACCTTATTTCAATAGTACAAAGTTGCAAATTTATATAAACTTTTTCTCTGTTTCTTGTGTAATTCAGATCTAGAAACTGAACTTGGGATGTAATCAAAACTCATTAACTAACAAATCTACACCCAAGCCAGATTCTCAAAGGAATGTGTGTGCCCATGTATCGGCATAATATAGAACTATATAAACTGTGGAAATCTACACTGGCATATGCCAATCTATATGTGAACACAAACATAGGTACACCAAGGGTGCAAACACTAACATAGGTGCACCAAGGACAACTTGTGTAACAATGGCTATCAATGGGTGCTAGCCATGAATGAGATTTTCATCTCGATCGATTTGTATGGGAAATGTTGATGGAGGGAAAAATTATTTTTATTTTTAATTATTTATTCGATTTCGAAGGATGTATATTATAGTTTTAGTTTTAGGGTTTTCTAGTTTTAAGGGATTCTAGGGTTTTTATTTTGTTTATATACTTCATCAATACTATTCACAATGACTGCTCACGAGTACTGTTTGCATGGGAGATACCGATGGAAGGCAATATTATTCTTATTTTTAATTTTTTATTCAATTTCAAGGGATGTATATTATAGTTTTAGTTTTAGGGATTTTTTAGATTTTAGGGATTCTAGGGTTTTTGTTCTGTTTATTTACTTCATGAGTACTATTCACAATTACTGTTCACAAATATTGTTCAAGGGTATTGTTGATAGGGGTAAAATTATCATTACGAATTTTAAGTTAGGATACTTGGGTTAGTATGTTATTTATTTGGACATTTTTTGTACTTGAAACATTGAATTATAATATATAAGAGGTGTGTGCAGCCGTGAAGGGGCATTCCACATGATTTTTAGAAATTGAAAAATAAAGAAAAGCTTAGGCATTTGGAAACCTAGTTTGGGGTATGGGGAAGAAACCCTAGGTTTCGTTGAATTTTGCTTGTCTTTGGCTTGTTCCTTGCTGATCCCTACATCAAATGCCATTTAATGTCACACCTTGAGAGGCTTCATAAATTATTATACTGATGAATCCATACAAGAATCAGTTGAAACATTTACAAATCAATCTAGCTAGCCCCTTATTTTGTAGATTATTTTCAGAGAGAGTATAGCATGCTCCCATGGAGCATATTGTATAACAACTCGGGAATTGTCCAACCATGTTCTTGAGGTTCTAGGCGAATACTCCTCGAAAAGACAAAAAGAGCTACAAGCTTGAGCAAGCAAATGCATAGTATGCTCTCGCAGAAGCAACAAACCTTTTCACTTTTTTCAATGACCCATTCCTCATCATCATCGTCTGAGTCTTTTCTCAACTAATTAGGATCGGCTACACGAATCCTTGTCCGCCATTCTGCTCTGTTAAGAGCAGTGTTTCAAAAAACGCTAGGCAGCACCCAGGCATCTGTGGGGGGTCCAAGCCGCCCAGCGCCTAGGCAGGTGCCCAAAACATAGGTGGCCCAGTTGAAAAAAAGAAGATAGAAGTTGAGAAGAGATGATCGTAATCCATACTTTCATATAATGCTAAAACAGTTAAAACCATACAAGCACACACAAAAGTTAGTAAAAACTAGAAAGTAGAAACTAAAAATAAGAAAAATAAAAATATACAGAAATTAAAAAAATATACAGTTTAGGACACAATAGTCAACACTCAACACCAAGAGTCAACACTCAAGCGTCAACTCTTATTCTTCAGTCATCATCATCATCATCATCATCAGAAGGAATAGGGTAAGCCTTATCATATGCATCAAATTCGATGCCATCATCATCAGAGTCATCTCTCTCTTCAATATAACGATCGTCCTCCTCTGTTTCTTCTGAATCTGCATCTTCCTCCTCTTCTTCTTCCTCCCTCTTACTATTGGCAGATGAGGCCCTAAGAGTCTTGGCTGTTCTACCCTTGTGCTTCTTTGAACTAAAAAATATACAGTCTAGGACACAACAGTCAACAGTCAACACTCAACACCAAGAGTCAAGCACTCAAGCGTCTTCAATTCTTATTCTTCAGTCATCATCATCATCATCAGAAGGAATAGGGTAAGCCGCATCATATGAGATTCGATGCCATCATCATCAGAGTCATCTCTCTCTTTAATATAACGATCGTTCTCCTCTGTTTCTTCTGAATCTGAATCTGCATCTTCCTCCTCCTCTTCTTCTTCCTCCCTCTTACTATGTGCAGATGAGGCCCTAAGAGTCTTGGCTACTCACCCTTTTCTAGCTTTTTGTGCTTCCTTGATCTCAAAAACATACAGTCTAGGACACAATAGTCAACACTCAACACCAAGAGTCAAGCACTCAAGCGTCTTCAACTCTTATTCTTTAGTCATCATCATCATCATCAGAAGGAATAGGGTAAGCCTCATCATATGCATCAAATTCGATACCATCATCATCAGAGTCATCTCTCTCTTCAATATAACAATCATCCTCCTCTGTTTCTTCTGAATCTGTACTTTCCTCCTCCTCTTCTTCTTCTTCCCTCTTACTATATGCAGATGAGATCCTAGGAGTCTTGGCTGCTCTACCCTTTTCTATCTTTTTGTGCTTCCCTGAATTCAAATATTGTATAATCTCCTCTCTGGTAGCCTCAGAAACATTTTTACATGAGGCAACATCCCCCTTAATACTGGTAAGGTGTTTTTTGAACCAATATATACCCCTATTAGTATCATTTCAACAATAATTACATTTAATATGATTTTTGTCATTTGGATTCGAGTTGTAACCATTCTTCCAATGCGGATCACCACTTCTAGAAGAACCTAGAAAAAATATTTCCATAGAATAAGGCTCATTTTCATCCTTTCTGGTTTTTTTAAATTTACAATTGTCAAATCTCATCCCCAATAGCTTCAAGAACTTTTTTACAATAAGCAACATTCCCTTTAACACCGGCAAGAAGTTTCTTGAATCGGTTAATACCCCCATTGGTATCTTTTCCACAAAACTTACACCTTATATAATTTTTATCGTTGGGTTTCGGATTATGACAATACTTCTAACCTGGATCACTTCTCTTAGAAGAACCAAGAATAGATCTATTCAAATGACAAGGATTTTGTTCATGTTTTTGTTTTACAGAACTCATATATTGCTTAATCTCCTCTCTGATAGCTTCAATAACATTTTTACAAAGGGCCAGATCCCCCTTAATACCGACAAGATGTTTCTTAAACAGGTTTATATCCCTTTTTGTATCTTTTTCACAATAATTGCATCTAATGCAATTTTTGTCATTTGGATTCGGGTTATATCCATATTTCCAACCCGAATCTCCACTTCGACTAGATCATGAAGTAGACCTTTCAAAATAAAACAAGCAATCTAAAAAATGAAGTTTTGCACTTACTATGATCGCTCGAACTCCAAAATTCCCACCTCTGAGATGTTTTCTAATGCTAAAATATCCAAAACACTCTCTAATAGGATTAAAACACTCCAAAACTAAATCTAATCTACCTAGGTGATGTTTGAATCAATTTTTCGTAACTTTGAGAAACACTTCGATCCAATGAAAATCACCAAATCGATGTTTCTTTCTCTCTAAAATGGTTCTTGTGGGTTTAAGTTTCAAATGAACCTAAAACCCATCCTTAAAAGCTTTTATTTTTTTAAAAAAAACTCGATAGAATAAAAAAAAACTCATTTTTGCCCTTAGGTAGGGCGCAGGCCTTGGGCGGCCACCCAGGGCTGGGAGTTGGGCGGCCGCCCAGGCGGCTGCCCAGGGACTGCCACCTAGTTTGGCCACCTAAGCGCTGGGCGGTCCGCTTTTTTGGACAATGATTAAGAGTCATGCCCTCAGTGAGGCCATAAGTCCCCATATCTTTTTACACTAGTTCTAACCATGTCCTTTTGAGCCTATCCCTTATCTTTTTTTAGCTTTCTATTTGAACTAACTCGCACCTCTTAACAAGTGTTGAACTGGGTCTGCACAACACCAACAATGACCCATTCCTATCCCTTAAATATTGATAAATTAAACCCACAATTTTTACTATATGAGAAAACAATAATTCTACCAAAGGTTGATCATGAGCTACATTTATGAAACATAGATTACAATGTCATCTCTTATATTCCAAACATAGGTGAAGAAAAATATATAATTCCCCGAAGGAGTATAAAAGACTATACTCCAAAGAAGCATCAATTAATGCCAGATGAAGAACCAGATGAAGAACGACGAACAATTAATTATATTAAGGGAAATATCCCTCAGGGGCCCATTATTGTTGATCTATGCCGTCCATCATCAATAAATGTCAAAGGATGCCCATTTGGAGAACCGTACACAAAACTACAGTGGATTATGGTAAACTTCCCCTTATTTTAAATGATAGCGAAAGTATGCTCAAGCAAACAATTCAGTAACTGACTTTAACTCATCAATGACAAAACAAGGTAAAATATATCTTTCCTAGTCACAAATACTATGGGAGAACAACTCACCATTTACAAAGCTGTGATAGCGCAAAAGATTTGTCACAATGGATCCTGGATGTAGCGAATTTGCAGTTACTTCCACCCCTTCTTCCTGCTCACAGAGAGAGAGGCAAATTAGAGAATCTGATGACTGAATGGTTATATAAGTGGGTCATACAAAGCATAACAGGGGAAAAAGGCTAGTGTATTAAGACATAACAAGATATTGGGTTTGGGTTTGTTTTATTTGCAGTTTTGATAAACTAATAACTTCCTTTTAATAATAAGAAAGAAAACAGAAAGTTTCAATTGAATAAATAACATCAACATGAAGGGACATGTGTGCAACAAAATCAAAGAGAACTATTTCACTTACAGGTGAAAGTCAATCTTCTTAAGCAAAATATGGTAGAAGAAAACTTGAGCAAAAAGTTATTTCAAAGATTGTGCTCGACTTAGGACTTCCAGACTAAATACAGGCAAGAGAGAGAGAGAGAGAGAGAGAGAGAGAGAGAGAGAGGAGGGAGGGTA